TGGTCCACGCGATTGGCCTTGCCTTTGTCCCGCCTCCATTGAAGACCGCTCCGACCGCCTCCTCACTGGAGGCGCGGTTAGTGGCGACATCGAGCAGGTCGCGGGTGGTACGGGGCTTCAGGCAGCCAAGCTTGTGGATCAGGGACTCACGGGTAGACCTGGAGAGGAATGCGCTGATGACATCGGCGTCGATGACATCAGGGAGGGAGTTGCATCGTTGGGAGAACCTACGGATGTAATCCCATATGGACTCACTGGGCTCCTACTGGCTGCTCTTGAGGTCCTAGGAGTTACCAGGGCAGACATATGTCCCCTGGAAATTTTCGACGAAGACCTTCTTGAGGTCCGCCCAGTCACGGATGCTGTCGTGCGGGAGGAATTCAAGCCATGCCCGAACATGTTCCCCCACGCAGATGGGGAGATATTGAATGATGAAAAGGTCATCATCCACCCCTTCAGCTCGGCAGGCGAGCCGGAAATCTTCGAGCCAAATACTGGGGTTCGTCTCCCCGGTGTATTTGGCGATATTGGTGGGCAGTCGGAATCGTTGCAGGAACGGCGCTCTCCGGATACGCCGGCCAAAGGCCCGTGGTCCCGGGCCCTCAGGGCTGGGACTCCGGTCGTCTGGCCGGCGACCATGCCTGGGGCGCGTTTCATCGCTCCCCTCGATGGTTCGGCCGGGACCCGTGTCGTCTGCCCTCACCGTCGCCCTGTGGATGTCATCATCATGCCGGGCCTGATGCCGGTTGCTGATGACGCTGCGAGCATCTTGGTGCGAACCAGGCCATTCGCGTACCGACGGTCGGTGTAGAGCAGGCACCAGGTCGGACCGTGGCGTAGCCGCTGCCTCCTGAGCCGCGCTTGGCGGCTGTAGCGGTGAGCGGATGGAGCAATCCATCTGGTGCGTTCCCACTCCCCCAGTGGGGAGAGAGGGCGCGTGTCAGAGTCACGATGCGGAGCTTTCCTCCTGTTGAACGGCGGTGGCTTCTACCAGCGCCCGGAGGTTTCAGTAGACCGCCCGCTCCTCAGGGTCGACGGGCTCGGGAACGCCGCATAGAAGCATTGCCGCAGCGGCAATGTTCTGGCTAGCCCGAGCGAACTGTGGGGGGTCGTTCCCCTCATTCATGATGTCGCGTTAGACCTGGCGGCGCGACCCCGGGCGTCGCCCGCCGGGTCATGCGCATGGGGCCCAACGTGCTGCACTGAGCGCGCCGGCGCAGGCAGCGGCTGGTTCTACCGCCATTGTTGTAGCTCCTCGGCGTGCCCTTGTGCGAGCGCGAGGGCCCCCGCACGCGGGTCCAGAGGGTGTGAGTTTGCACAGAGTCCGCAACCACCGGCGGCTGTCCCGGAGCGTCCGCCATAGCGTACTCTCGGGACGGACGGTGGCAAGGTGGCACGTCGCCGATGCTGGAGCCGTCGCTCTCAACCTCGTCATCCAGGAGTTCGTGGAAAGTGGTGGGAGCATAGCTCGCCATTCCCATGAATTCGGATGTGAGAGGGGACGGCGCTAGCATCCTTCGGAGCCCCTGAGCGCACGCGTCCATGGGGGGACACGAGGCTACAGGGGAACCGATCGTACGGTGTTTGCGGTGCGGACAATACGGTCCCTCTGGATAATCAGTGGGAGAGAGTAAATAACAGTATGTACATTACTCACAGCGGGGTTTGAGCAGAGAGTTTGCTCGGAATGAAGCGCAGACGCCTCATCGTTGAAGTCATCGTGCGTCCCGGAGCCGATGGAGGGCGCCCCTCCGATGGGCGCCGGAACAAGTGCCTCCTCGCGGAGGTGTAGTACGCCGAGCCGGTCAGCGACGAAGTCCAGGCTTCCGAAAAGGAAGGCCTGGGACGGCTCAAAGACGGGTGGAACCCACATCCCAACAGGTGGGAGTGCGGGAAACTCTAATGAGCCGAAGCGAGTCGTATCGCTTGAGCCCGCCATGGCGAAGGTGGCAGAAAAGTGGGCCATCCGATGACCAAAAAGTGTTGAACGTACAGCGTCTTTCCCACGAACGGCGCCAACTATCGATGAAGAAAGTGACCAACACGTAAATATTTGTAGTTTTGCCGCACGTTGTGATCGGACGTGGCCTAGCACTCAATGACATAGGGTTTATACTAGTTCAGGCAACGTGCCCTACGTCCAGTTTGAGTCGGTCGGTGACTTTATTCCTGAGCCCAGGTGCTTGAAGTTTGTAGTGGGGTTACAAACGAGAAGGAGAAAGATGGGGGTACAAGAGGTCCGGTCGGACTCTGGTCAGAGGGGCCGAGAGTGACGGGAGCCCCGCTATGTGCTTAAGTGTTCAAGCGTGTGCTCGGTATAACCTTAAAGTGTCTAAAGTTACAGAGGGTGAATCAATGTAGGTGAATTGATCGATCTGAATCAACTGTCTTTTGGGAGAGAGCGCATCCCCTTTTATAGATGAAAGGGATTGCCTTACAGGTGAGAGTGAGAGAGTACGTATGCTGCTAAGTCGTGCTACCCACGTCGGCGGGTATAAGATGATGATAGGTGCCCATAATACTGATTAATGTTAGATGCACGTGGGAGGTTGCGTCGTCTTCTTCAGGTATGGCAGATGTCGGTGTCTGCCACGTTGTTGATACCCAGAGGCATGTAAGGGGTTTTACCATGTTCGCCTGGTACGGTAAATGCCGGCGCCCATAACACTGTCGATGCCAGGGAGGTCGCAAGGTACAGTCCTGCAGGTGTACAGGGTACGGTCCTCGATATTGCGGTTGACTTGAGTGCGCTGCCTTACTATCTCTGTCTGTTTCCTAGTCCTTACCGAGCGGGCGTCCCCGGTCGGTTGGTCCCAGTCGGCTCTGATTGCGCTAGTCGGAAAGGAGATGTAAGCAGGGGTCCGGCGCATTCCCGATCGGAGAAGTGGGTCGAGTCGGAAGTGGTGTTTGGCTAGGCCTTCCGGTCGGAGAGGCCATCCGGAGGCGGGCTAGAGACCGAAACGAGCGCTCCGGTCGGAGAGGTGGGCCGGAGTCGAAAGCAGGCGCCGTTCCTCCTCGGCCAGGCCTTCCGGTCGGAGATGCCATTCTGGCCTATCGTCTAGGTATTTGGGCCAGACCATGAGTTGCGCGTTGCTCGCAACGTCGTCTTTTGGGCTGAGCCTTCGTTGGTAAGCCGGTCCACGAGGGACCCCGGGTTTATGAACCCGACAATATGCAACTTTGGATTTTATGAACTTATAACGGTCTACGTTAAACCAACATCAATAAAAATTGGATTTTATTAAAGAGAAAAAAAGGTCTCAAATCTGATTCTAGAAAAGGAAGACAAGACAACTCTTACCGTCCTATGGCAGTTCCAACCCACAAACTATAACATGGTTTCTATACTTACGAACTCAAATAGACACTACATATAGAAACCACGTTCCCAATCTCTCTCATATCATCTACCAATCATATTTCTTTGTATATTGGTTCTCGTATAGACATAGTTTTCTATATAAAAACCATTTCGTTCTCTCTTCATTAACTACGATGCCACATCAATATTTTTGTTAGTTAATCACTAATTGATGGCCATATAAACCACCAAAGTTTGGGAATGCCCTTAGGTCGTGCAAGTGCAATAACACTGTCGGGACAAGCCACGAGAAGACTAGAGCTTGCCTGCCCCGAGCAATGATGGCAGCCTGTGTTGCCATGTACTCCCTCCGTCAAAAAAGAATATTTTTTATTTTGTTTTAGAAAAGTCAAACTTTTTAAATTTGACCCTTTTTTAAAATATCAACATTTATCTCATATTGGATTTACTATAAAAATATATATCCCATAATAAATCAAATGGTATTTACTCTATCCGTCATGTAATATAGCAAATTCTAAAAATTTTAAAACAGCTTAAGTGAACACTCAAACAACGCATGTATCCATGGATTATATCCAATTAAGAAGTTTCTCCTTAAATTATGTTTTCCCTTTTAACAAATTTTACGAAATAGGGAGAGTTTGTAAATTTTTATATAGTTTTAGTCAACTTAAAATTATTTTTATATAGTTTTGATCAGACTTAAATTTGTTTGACGCCTTAAGAAGACTATATTATTTTTTGTACGTAGAAAGTCTGAAAAAGATTCGATCATTAAAGGAAACAGGCTGACGTAGGCCCGCGATAACAATATTATCTATTAAGGCCATATTTAGTACAGCTTCACCAACATCCTTACGAGCTATTGTGAGCTGTTTTTTTTTTTTAAACACCCTTTTTCGAAACATCTTTACGGGTAAAGTTGTTTTCTTCCTCCTCTCATAAAGAGATAAGTTGGGATGAAGTTGAAAAAAAAGTAGCTTTTCATAGCTCTCTTCCTCATTTCACTCAACTGTTTTTTGTCAAACACCTTTTTTCAAAACAACTTCGTTCTTCCTCCTCTCACAAATAGTTAAGTTGGGATGAAGCTGGCTCTCCCGCATTTCCCTCTCTCAACCACGCATGAAGTTATTAGTGAAGCTATTTTGACCAAACAGTTTTTTCAAAACAACTCAGCTTCATCTACAAAGTTGCTCATAAAGCTATTTTCTAAAAAAAAAAAACAGCTTCACTAGTAAAACTAAGTTGTGCCAAACAGAGTCTAAAAACAGCCATATGTTGTCTCCACCTCCATCCCTCCTATCAAACACAACAGCCATATATTCTCCCCCACCTCCATTAAACACAAAACATCGATCAGTTAAAAAAAAAGATCCTATTATTCACACACAAAAAAAAAAACAGAACCAAGAAAACCAGGACGACAATGTTTGATCTCGCCTCGTCTCCAAACTAAACGTAAACTTCGTAGCCAGTAGCCACTGCGCTTTGATGATCTAGAGCTCCAGATACGAGGCACATAAAACTATTCAGAATTCATAGTAATTAGAAGTCAGAGGTTCTGCCAGCTAGCAGCTCTCAGATATGATTTTTTTTTTGAACACAAATAGCAGCATAATTTTTTTGGGGGAAGATAAGCACTAGGAAACCAAATTTTCCGCTTTGTGTGACATATTCAAGCAGCAGGATTCACATAGCATTCATCAAGATAACTTGCTTCAGTTTCCCTGCCAGATATGTCACTCGTTAAAGATAAAACTTGAGATGCCTACACGTACATCAAATAAAAAATAACAAATTACAATCGCTGTTTCGTACATCAAAATTTCCCTGGCCGCAAACTCATGCTTGCTCAAAATTGTCTGTTGCCCTTATAGCGCATCAAATTTCATTGGGATTTGTGGACATCTGAATACTACTCCTTCATACCTTTCTCCTCTTGGCACCTTTCTTTTCAGCTTCCCTGTTAGAAAAATACCAACTCATATGAGAAAACAATGAGATGAGACAAATACCGATAGGAAGTGAAAATGTCAAATAATTCTTACCAGTCTCGCCTCAGCTTGAATTGCCATTTCCTTTTCGGCTTCTTGTCACCGACCTGTTTCTTCTCTTTGACACCCGAGAAGCTCTCAGGGCCAGATTTTTTGGATCTATCAGAAGCAAACTTTCTTTTGTGGTTAGTTTGCTTGGTTTGTTCATGATGCTCTTCTTTCCCGTCTCCATTTGTTTCAGTGCTTTCAGGGCCATCAATTTCATTTGTATCATTATCCTTATTTTTCTTGAGATGCTTTCCTGGCCTATTAGATTCACGTTTATGGCCTCCAGTCTCTTTGGTGACACTTGTTCTTTTATTGGTCACCTTAGCCTTTTTACGATTTTTCATCTCAACAGTTTTCTCATCTTTACCAGGAACAGCTGTCTCTTGTTCATTAGAAATAGCTTTCTCGTCTTCGCCATCAACCTTTTCAGCTGCTCCTTCAGATGCTTTAGACGACTCAGACGTCACCGGGATTGTATTGCTTAACTTTTTCAGCTGAATGAAATAGCATAAAAAGCATGTCATGTCAATAGATACTCTAAAATACTGCCTTCTGTCCTATGTGTATTTTTGTTAGGGTCTCACCTATGTAAAATTTTCAAATTACTCTTCAAAAATTATATATTAACAACATTCATGAAATTACAATGTTATCAAATTATATATTTTGTGATGCTCGATACTAATCTTCATGTAAAAATAAATAAATACTTCCTGTACACTAGCAGTCAAACTTTAAAAACTGACTGCATGCATTCATTTCTAGGATGTCAATTATTTTGGACCAAAAGTTACAATTAGAGTCCATGTAAGAGACTTGATATTCAATGCAGTATAACCAATCCAACATGCAAGTGCCCAGTTGAATTATTTGCCAACACGAATACAACAAAACCTTCAAGGGGTCAACATGCAACTTTATGCGTAAAAAATACTATGATTTGTCCTTCAAAAATTATTACGCCTTGAACTGGAAAACAGTCAAATGGAAAGTACCTTAGCTACAAAAAATCCATCCATGTTATTGACATGAGGATAAAATCTTCTTGTTTTTTCTAAAGAAGTATGAAACCGATGCTCCCGGTACCGGATGAATCTGAAATATATACAGAAGAAACATAAGAAAACAACCAAATATTCTTTGGCTCGTGAAAAGTAAGATTGCCATACCCTGGACGCCCAAAATCCAACCCGCAAGGCACAAGCTTTACGTTTCTCTTTTTAAGTGCATAGTCAATTACTGCTTCGTTCTGCAAGAGAAGGGTTATTCAGAAACGCAGGTGGAATCAGCTTTGACCAAACAGGAAAACTTTACATACCTCTGGGATCATTATCGAACAAGTTGAGTAAACAATGTAGCCACCAGTTTTGGAGTTGGCATCAACCAAATCAATAGCAGCTAGCAGCAATTGCTGCAAAACAAGTCAATTTATTACTAAATAGTACAGTAATAAGCAGGGACGATCTTATTGATTCTGACAACACCAGTTTCTATTATCTCTCTAATGTGATAATCACAAAATTTTAATGCCCAAACCATATTATATGCAAGCAGCGTTATGGATTTGGCACCAAGTAGGAGAGGATTATTGTTCCTTTTTTTAATATGTACTTACTAGGTCAAGGTTCAAATAGATGGGCAATTGCCCTCATTTCTAATACGTAGTTTCTGGTAATCTTGTTACCCCTGATTTGAATTTTAACTACTGATTTGTCCTCTCTTTTTTAGGTTGCTTGTTTGCCCATCTTTTTAAAATGGAGTCTGCTCTGCTATTCGCCCCTCTTTGATACACCTGTGTGGGTGGACAGATTTTATGCCGGTTAAAGAAAAAGAAAGAAAAAATTTATACCAACATGCCCCACCGCATACAAACCCCAAATCTCCCTTCCAACCCTATAACTGTGTCAGTGGCCGAGCCAGGAGATTTGGGAGTTGGGTATTCCATTTAAGTCTTCTTTTTAACCCAATATATGAGAAAGTACATTTAACCATATATAAATTAACGGACAAATTGTTCAAACTAAACAAATCTCAGTAATTTACGCAGCTTTTTCCCATGTGGACTTCAAATCAATCGATTTCTTCCTCCTTCATTTTGCAAAGCTATACAATCCAGTCAACGAGAAAAAATTCACACCAATTAACAAAGTGACTAGTGATGTAACACCATAAGACTCACCACCTCCTAGGCCATTTAGAAAGGAGGAATAACACGCGCTAGTTTATGCTGCTGGGCGGTGGTCAGTGGCTAGTGGGTGCTACTCGCTAGACAACAGGGTTATTTGGCTCTGTTTAGAGAACAAGGACTAGAGAGGAGACAAAGCACAGAGCGAGAACGATAGCATCGAATCACGATAAAGTGGATCGAGTCATCGCAGGCGAGAGAGAAGACTGGTGGGTGAATTGGAAAGTGAGTGCCTTGTGCTTGAGTTGTGTCGTGGCATCAGGTTAAGTTAGAACTCAGAAGATGGAGAATATGGTACCAAATGATATACATGACATAAACTCAATTTTGTGAAATTGCAGGCAGTATCACTTCAAACAAGATTTCATTGAGTAAAAGAAATGAACCTTTTGGACAAAGGCACAGTTTCTGATGTCTTCAATGTCCTTTGATGTTTTGATTTGTAGATCCTTCCAAATGGTCTGCAAAAAAAAAGTCCTATGTTCAAGCAATACCAAGAGAAACATAATAGTCAAGCAGCTTAGATAAATTTGATTATACGAACCCCAGTTCCTGTGCAGGGAGCATCCAGCAATACTCTGTCAACCGAATTCATCCCGAGAACTTTGGGTAGCTGAAATAAGATGTGTCATGGAACATTTCTACTGGGAACATGATGTGCCCAAGCTTAAATGAGATGCTACAGAACTGATGAAATTGTGACTTGTATGTTATGCTTCCCCGTATAAACATAAGTGATTAACAACATATAACCTTAGTACAAGGTCTGCCTATCTTGGTTACAGCACACTTGACAAAGTCCCACAAACAATGACACCAAGTTATCAGACTGCACTATTTTGGCACGATCAATACCAATACTCCAATAGGAAGGCTTTAAGCACCAAAGGATAGTAGGCATGTTATCTTCTTACCTCTTTACCATCATAGTTACAAACTATGGTATTTGTCACGCCCATGCGATGGATGTTTCCCAAAAGTCCATGCAACCTTTTCTCATTGAACTCATTTGCATAGATGATTCCTGTATATGGCATATGAAGAAAGCAACACCTTTATTTAATTTAATGATGGTAGACAACAAAAACAAATAGACAAATTACTCTATTAGAGGGATCACAGTACTCAAGTCAAGTTCAATGAACTAACCGGTATTCTTCATAAGAGCGCCAATGTATGTAGTCTTACCGCCTGGAGCAGCACTGTAAACAAGAAAATAATCAGTTATAATATTGGTCATTGTATATAACAGCATAGCCCTAATGAATAAATCATTTGAAGATTAACATCAAAATTCTGAAACAAGTAAATAATACTTAATATTGTAGCATGAGAAGGCCTACAGTTACATTGGTAATTTTGATGTCATAATAGAAATTAACTCTTGCCCAAGAAAAAGAAAACAACTTACGCCATATCAACAATTCGCTCCTTCTCCTGTGGAGCAAGTGCCATCACTGGTAAGAAAGAACTTGCACCTTGTTTCTGTAAGACCATATTATTAGTCAAAATAATGGACAGAAGACAAAATGTTTCAACATAATGAAAAGGTAGAGAGAGGATACCATGTAATGTCCAGCCATATATTCAGTAGTAGCACCAGCTGAAATCGTGGAGTCATAGACAACTAATCCTACCTGCCATTTTCAACAGGGAGAGGGGGGGTAAGTTTGCTGTGGTTTACCATGTATGGGAAACAATAATTGAAGCATACCTTTGACCATTTGCCTATTGGGTCCAAATTAAATCCTCTTGGTATAAGAGCAGCGGCAAGATCCCTCCTCCGGGTCTGCAAAGTGCAAAATTCACAAATAACTTAAATGCAATAACAACAAAGCCTTTGAATCCAAGCAAGTTATGGTAAGCTGCCAACATAACCAAACAAACAAGGTAATAAAGTTATTGAGAAGAGCAGAGTCTAAACAGATATGAAGCAAATTGACAATAAACAGTAAACCAAATAACTGTGTGGTACTGGTACCACTCATACACTTTCAGATTGACCACAGGCAGTATACCTTTAGTGTATTTGTCCGCAAGCACTCAGGTGGTCTTTTCTCAAAGGCTTCCAGTAACTCAATAAGCTCAACAGCTGGGAACATCTGCGCAGTTACAGAAGTATGTTATCTACTACTAGAACAGGCTAAACCGTGCTCAATTTCTGAGCAAGCATGTCAAACACAGAAATTGCCTCAAGCAGTCGGAACATCTTTCTGCCTCAGCTATATAAAATGAAGTGACAACTATATCCAACAGTTGATGCATAAAATGAACAGCTGACCTCAATTAATGCTTCAACGAGAAAATCATTATATCCATAGTATGACATGATGTCAGTTTTCAGTTGATTGATATAATCTTTTCGCGGAACATCTTTCTGCCTCAGCTTGCTGAAGTTTGAGAGCACTCGAACAACTACATAAGAAAAACAGTATCAGTATATATAAAAACAGTCAGAAAGGTAAACAGATTGCTTTCCACGAGGAATGCAAAATATCTGCTCAATGCTCATAATACAATAGCACAATATAACCTGGATTTTACAAATCCGATAGGGGGAGGGTGGTAATAAATGGTAGAAAGCCATGAAATATGGTAAACAGGAACAGTATTATTAGATGAACATACTTTCTGATATCCTCCTTTTGAGATTTGGTAGGTTCGGTGGTCTGTGTTCCTCTTCCTCCAGCTCCTGCAGCAAGTTATGCAATGGAATAAGTCATCAAGGCAACTAACACTGAACAGAGAGAGAATAGGAACCAAAGGAAGACAAGCAACCTCCGCCGTGGGTAATCTGAACTCATCAGATTCTGATCTTATGTTGATTTGAAGTTCCTCCTCTGCATCTTCTTCCGCCTTGAGTTTCTGCTCATCAATTGCTCGTGACTTTGCCTCGAGGTCATCAGACTCATCTGACTCCAGTCCAGAGTCACCACCCTCTGCAAACCCAGCACATTGCAATCAGCAGAGATAAGCAAGGTGCAAATTCCAGCACTAGATACACTTGTATAAAAAAACAAAATCGTATGTAGATGCCAGCTCAAATGAATGAATTCTAGTACGAAATAATGGCTTAGGGAAAACTGAAACTGCTGGAGCCATTGAGCCAATTCAAGTCAATACATATCTAGTAGCCTAGTGATCAGAGCTAATTACCGCTTCCTTCGTCGCTACCAGCTAGGAAGTCGTCCGCAAGGGGGTCATCATCGCTTTCATCACCTTCCTCCTCCTCCACGTCGTCGCCGCTGCCCGAGCCTCCGTCGGCATCGGCGTCCGAGCCCGAGAGCTCGTCAGCCTCAGCGTCCAACGCAGAGAGCTCCTCGGCGTCGGAATCAGAGGGGACGTCGAGGTCGGAGCAGGGGCGGATCTAGTAAAGGGACATGGGTGTACACATATACACCCAATAATTTTTGCAAAAAGTTAGAAGTTAATAGGCATCAAATAGCCAAATAGTAGGTTACAATTTGAGAACTCAATTTTTTTTAAATCGAAAACTCGGTTTCGCACAGCAGACAGGAAAGAGAAAAGGGGGTGGGAATACCTGGTGGGCGCTCATCGCCGGCGAAGAGGCAGGAGTGAGCGGGGTGCGGGAGGAAGCGGCGGCGCCTGTGCGGGAGCGGGGTGCGGACGGCGGCGCCTGTGCGGGAGCGGGATCCGGGCGAGCGGCTGCGGCACGGGAGGGGAAGAGGGAGGAGAAGAAGAGTCAGTGGGCCGCGCTTGGTGGCCTTTTGTTACATATACTAGGGTTACAGATCAATGGGCCGCGCCTGGGGGGCTTTTTTCACTGGATGGCTTACATTTCGAGTTGCGACGGGCACCCGCGGGGGAGAGTTAGAACCTGCTTGGTCCAAAATTTAGCCGGTTTTAGCAAACCATGATTTTAGCTAGTATTTAGTTGGCTATTAAAATTTGCTAACTTTTTATATTTGGCTTGTCAAATTTTTGACAACTTTTTTTTACTCAACGTTTGGTTGTCAAATCTTTGGTATGACAAATTTTGATCGCTAACCAAGCAAGCCCTTAAAACCCGCCTCCACCCCGCCTGTTTCGGGTACCCAAACCCGCGGGGCGAAATCTGACCCACCCCTGCCGGGTCTGAAACCCACGGGTTTCAGGTTCAAACCCGTCCCGCTGCCATCTTTAGGTGGACGAAGTTTGGAATTGAGATGTTTTTTTTATTAACTAGCAAATCTGATCATGTGTTGCAACGGGAAGCGCAAGTTATTGTACGGTGTTCATGCTAATGAGAATGAAATAGCTTTTTTATTAGATTTAATTGAGATTGACCTAATTTTAAATTAAAAAGGTCGAGACCTATAATGACGTCTAGGTTGACACTGTTGAAAAGAGTAAAATGTTCATAGCGCCCTTCTAGTTTGTTTTCCCTAATTTCCTTTTTTTCTTCCTTTTTTCTTATTTTTTATTTCTTTTCTTTTCTTTTCCCTGCCTTACTTATCCGTCGCTCGTGTCGAACCAGTACGCGACCCTTGCGAGTCGCGTCTCTTCTCCGGACGCCGCGCGTTCATCTTGCTTACCGCCATACGCTTTGAAATTGCGCTTGAACCCACGTTAGCCGGCCGTGCAGCACCAGCGCCTTCCCTCAAGGCCCCTTCATCACGCACCTCTCCGTGCCCCTCAATGCCACAGCTGTTGCGCCGCCATCGCCTCAGCCGCACCGCCGATCCCGCCCGCGCCCATGCCTCCGGGCCAAAAAGGAGAACGTCTAGGCGCCGGCCCACGCGAGCGACGACGAAGCCTCGACGAAGCTATATTTTTTGGCTGATCCACACGCATGGATCAGCCTCTTCCTCTGTGAATCTGTGATCCCCTCGCCCCGCCCCGCGCCGCTGTCCACCCAACGGTTGCCCGACGCTCACCCCGCCTCTATCCATAGATCCCCTCCGCCTCCTCCACCGTCTTGCTCGACACAGTCCGCCTCGCCGTCTTGCTCGACACAGGTGCCAAGATCCACCCCACACTGACTCTGCGACGAGCTGTCCTACTCCGATCCGCGCACAAGGCGTCCAAGAACGCCGTGGTCTGCACTTATCCACTTCTGTGTGTGCGTCGGACGTATGAGTCCTAGGACTCAGCTGCTTCCTTTTCTATGAGAAAATTGCAATTATAGGACACTAAACAATGCGCTTCGCAATTATAGGACTCCAATCGTCGACTTCGTTAAAATGACCCTTGAAACGTTGGCTTCTTATTTTAGATGACATTTGGCGTATTTCTCCACTTTGTTAATCAAAATACATATATTTTGGCCCTCTTGTGACCCTTCTGCCCTTCTATTTTTGTATCGTTGATCGATCGTACCAATTCATCTACCCGACGTTCCTCCTTTCCTCCAAGACCGACGCCGCCCTAAGCACTGATGCCGCCGTTCCTCCTTGCCCTCCTCCCGCCGCTGCCGTACCCTTCCCTTCCTCGACTCCCATGGATGGATCGCCGCCCAAAGATGATGATGGCCGCCCGATCGCAATGGAGGCCCAAGCAGCCGCAGCCCTGGCGACCTCTGGCCTTGCCGTGCGTGCTGAGGGCCTGGAGAAGCAGTCCTCGGCGGCACGATGCGGCACGGAGAAGCCGTCGTGCGTGTTGGTGTCGGAGGCCGTGAGCGTCTTGCAGAACATGTGCGGCGTCCACGAGAACCGCTGCTTCACGGTCTCCCTGTCGTCGCCGTCCCCGGCGCTCCCGTCCTCGGACCCTCCGCGCAACTCGCCTCGTGACATTATGCACGACGCGCCGGAAGTAAGCGCCCCAAGAAACACAAATAAGACCAAAATCCTGTCTTAATGGATGCAACAGAGAAATCAATCCGAATCCAATGCTGCTTTGCATCAGAAGCTTCCGCGAACCTCGTTCTCGGCGAGGAGGGCGAGCTGGGCATACACCTCGTCCATGGACGCGTCCGCCTGCAACGAGCGCAAGAGGACAAGTCAATGGAAGCCGCACCGGCATGGGCAACCCACGCACGAGCGAGCACACACACATTGAGGAGCTTATGAGAGGCTGGAACCGCCGCGCACATGGAGAGTGGCGTCGATGACGCCGACGAGAAGACGTGGGGCGGCGGGGGGCGGGTATCGGCGCGCCTCCGCGCCGCCGCGCGGCGTCAAGGGTGCTTGAGGTGTCCCTACGGGAAGTACACCACAAGCTCCCTTTCCACGACAGCAGCGCGATGGGGCCCGCGTAGGCGTGCCACAACTCGAGGCACACTATGGCACCCCGCCTCGGCTGGGGGTGGGGGCGTGGCCGCAGAGCTGGTCCGGCTCTGCTGGGAGCACGCGTGACACAGCTCCAAGCACACGGCGCCACCCGCCCTAACGGCCACAAGCGGCGCCTCCGCCTCCTCCTCCTCCTCCACGGTGTTGAGGTCAATGCCTGCCATGGCCCCGGTCGACCGCAGCAGCTGGCTCCACGGAAGGAGCAGACGACGGCAGCAAAGCGCCGGTGCGGCGTGGGATGGAGCTGAGGAAGTGAGTGAGGAGTATCCAAGTATGACAGAAGGGTCACAAGAGGGCTAAAATACATGTATTTTGATTAACAAAGTGAAGAAATACGCCAAATGTCATCTAAAATAAGAAGCCAACGTTTGAAGGGTCATTTTAACGAAGTCGACAATTGGAGTCCTATAATTATGAAGTGCATATTTTGGTGTCCTATAATTGCAATTTTCTCGTTGTTGGCGCAGACGAACGAGGCATGGATGCCGGAGGCAAAGTTGGACTCAGATCAAGGGATTTTTTTAGGGCTGATGCCGAGACTGAGCCACTTTAGGCTAAGCTGAACGAAAAATTATTAGTGCAGAAATTTTGCCTCTTTAATATTAGGTAGAGATTTGCTATATACTCCACCTTATGTTTTTTATATACATCTACGAGATTTTTTGGGTCCGTCAGTACATCATCCTCATCTATTTCTCTAAAATATTCTCTTTGACCATGGCAAAGGTGATCGTGTAAGACAGTTTATCTTCAGTGCTGAGGTAACTAAAAATATATTGGTTTATTAGCCACCTTTTTTATTGTAAATCGATAGGCACAATAAAACAGTTAAAGCCATAATAATATGGACACAACTATAAAGACTATACGATTCATGCATATCGTTCTAGGTTTTTATCCTAATAAGAAGTTAAACGTCCGATTCGGCTCGTTTGCTACCTCGAGTCAACTCGTAATCGAGGAGAAAGAAAAAACATATTATAATCAATAATGAAGCATGGTCAAATTATCAACATGATTTCATTGAAGACCGGAAGGAAAAAGCTAATCTGAATCAATATATGCAGCGTTGTGTATATGTTTGCTCATTGAAGACTTGACTATGATTCGGAGTCTAGGATAATACTAGATTTTAACATCCTATGGTGAATTGGATCTTAAGAGATGACAAACTGATATACGTGCACTATCTATCAGGTTTTGCTAGGCTTGTAGTGGATCTTGGACGTCCTGGCATCGACGTGGTAGTGTTGCCTGCTAGTGCCCCACAGTAGCAGTGGCATGTTGCTGCTCGGCGAGTAGCCATTGTGGGAGCGTAGAGGAACAAGACAGGGATGGCAGTGGACAGAATACATGAATCTCGAGCGACGATGCAGCGATAGGCGTCTCTATACTACAAGGGATGGTAGATAGTTACCTATACTACTAGTAGTGGATGCACCCTCCGAAAAAAAATTCTCATCATGGATCCACACGTTGAGGACACAACATGCTTTTACCATGCCCTGCTCATAGGGCTCAACCTTGATGGTTGTGGATACCCACCATGTGCTTCAATCTCACACCTATTCTACTGACCTACATGCTATAGGCAACGGATTGAGAGGAAGATAGGCAGCAACGATGGTAGATAGACAAGGAAGGAAGAGAGGGAGGACGAGATGGAGGTGGAGGTGATGATGCTAAGAAAGGGAGTGAGAAAAAAGAGATATAGCCTATTATATGTGGGTCCACGCTGGTAGGTGGGCCTAAATTACTTGAAAACCATCAAAACTAAGTTGAGAGGCCCAAATTGAATGGACTAAGAATTGAGATGACAATTTTACAAGGTTTTATAGTTTGGGGTTAAAAATTAGAAAAACACAAGAGTTGAAAAAAATAAATGAGCTCGATCCAAATAGCAATAATGGATATCTAAAGTTGCACAGACATATAAACACTAGTGCAAAATCTTAACTTCTTAAATGTATCAGAACTTCTGATGAAAACTTTAGAACATCCAAAACTCTAAAAACACAGCATAAGTCACTTAAAAATGCCATAACTTTTAGCTCCGGACTCTGATTTCAATGATCTAGGACTTCTCGGAAAGCTTATTCAAAGGGCTAACCATTGAAAACAAGCTCTAAGACCAACAAGTGAAAGTGTTGTGGCATGTGTTTATATCTCATGTTAGCACTCGGATTTTGGTTGGTTTGAGCACTTGAGACTTTCAAATTGTTCATATTGCATCCCTCTTAATAGTACCACATACATATACTCAAGATAAAAAAAAAGACATGTATATTTCCATCACTTCAGCCTTCAATATTTTCATAGGTCAATTCTTCTCAATATATCTTCATAATGGTTTGCAGCAATCTTTGTCTCATTCTTCTTGAGAAAATCCACCTTAAGCTTGTAACTTGAACCATTTCAACATATTTCAGTTTAATCCAATGGCTTCAAGCCACTTTCACTTGTGATATAGCAAAGATTTGATGCTTCACCAAGAATGACTTCTTGTGGCTTGATTAGTCCTTTAGGATTACCAAGTGCTTCTTCACCTTAGCCATAATCCCTCGACGTAAGCCGTTGTTTTCCCTTCATCTACACTTAGAACCTCGAAGCCCAACTTAGTACATTCCTTCACTCATCTTCCCCACCTTGAATCAATCTTGATTTGCACCAACAATAGACACACATTGAAATCTCACTTTATTAGCATTATATTGTTCTCGCTTGAACTAGATTGTTTCAATGAACTTACTACTCAACAATGCTTATATTGAATTACTATTGCACAACTTGACCGAGCTTCACATTTGAGACTTCATTTGATACCCATCAACACACATGTCCTTTTTATGTATCCATATTATGCTTGTCAAGTTGCTTAGTTCAATGATATTTCACAATGTAGATGCAAGCCAACATAATGAAACCATATATATGCATAAGTTCATGTCTCTTCTCCTTTATGCACTTTGGTTTGCTGTTTCTTCACTTATTTGTTTTTCATTCATTCTTCGACCTATCAATACTAGTCAACTATCAATCTCTTCTTATTCATGTAAGAAAGCCATAGTTGAGATCAAATCATACCCATTTCTCTTTATCTCATTTTGCTTTATCAATTTGCTTATCTTATCTTTATTGATATGAGTTTGATATGATGCAATGAACCTATCCAAAATCCATCAAACTCATTAGTCATTTAATTAGTTTTTTCACAATCCACTAGGGGGCCTAGATGTTTTTTTATTGTTCTAATAGAAGGAAAAATATTCTTTGAAGAGGAAACAATATCTTCATAGAATCTACCATAATCCCTTAATGTTGTATACCAAAATCGCAAAAGCCTGCCTCCACGTCGCCTTAGAATTCCACCCGTCCAATCCGTCCATCAAGTGATGCACTTCGTCCGATCCTCATCCCTGCTGGCCTCACCTCGAACCTTTCTCCACACCCGCAGCATGCAGCCCGCAAACAACCCGACGCCCTCACAACCACAAAACGCCGCCGCCGCACGCCGCCCCAACCTGCCCTCCTACCTGTGGGCTCCCAGCAGGCGGCCCCCGCTTCGCCAGTGAGGCCGGCGCAATAGATGTGACCGGTTTGCTTCCACATATGCAATAGGCAACATTCACATGAGGAACTTTCTAGATAAATGACAAGAAAACATAAGACGTGTTTGCCATGCTTTAAGACTGAAGATATCTTGCATGATGGTAATTATCTAGTGAATGGATAAGGATGAGGGAGATACTATAAAATATAGTTAAGTGTAAGTTTGCCACCGAGTATCATCATATAACCTATATAAACACCTAGAGATTTAAGTGGGCATCCCATAGTTACCGTAAAGCATAAAAGCACCCACCAAATATTTCATGTGACAACCTTTAATTTGTATAAGAGTCTTATATAATCTATAAAGTCATTTTTAGGGGAACTAGGAATTTTCGATACTTAGACATAGCTGAATCGTCAGCCAATTAGAGACGAATACATAAAGGATGGAAACCAGAGTCGGTTCAGCATCCAAAGAAAACAAGACTACCAAAAGCAGCTAGCTCGTGAGCCACTCTGAAAAAAATATAAATTAGTTACCAATACAGTTAGATATAGTTGTTGAGAGAAGAAAACAAAAGAGATAATATTTTGAACACTCAAAACTATAAAGTTGCATTCACCCTGGGTCAGAGCCCTCCTCCTGAAGCTACTGCTACAACTCTTATCAGGACTCGAGAACCTTCTGCTTCTTGGGCGCTCTCTTCGTCGGCTTCGGTGGCCCTAGCCGCGAGAGGGGATGAGAGGGGAGCCACGGATGGTTTTTACTCTGGGCCTTGCTGAGAAGCGACCTTGGAGTGGTGCTTCAAATGGCCGGGCCAAAAAAAATATGAGATTTATAGGCTAACGTGCAAATCAGTCGGGCTCTTGGCCGAGTGAGCTTTATGGGCCGCCAGGTCGTTATGACATTTTTTTCTTTTAACATTAACGGCACGCTTCAATTAGTCATTATT